AAAAAAGCTGCAAATACTATATTTAGAATCAACAAAACCTGAACTGTTCATGTGGAACAAATGGGATGGATTTGGCCTCAACAGCACCTGACATGGAATTTTTTTTTACTCGCCTGTAATCTGGGCTGTTCGGAGGTAAGGGCAGATTGCTTGTGGGCAGGCAGGGCCCCTGAACTGCAATGTCCTTTCGTCGTAAGAGCACTGAGCTTTCTGCATCAATATTCTGGTCACTGAAATGCAGTGATCAGCTTGCCTGCACACTACGTGATAAATAACACCGGGTATGAGACAAAGCAGGGCCCACTACTGCCCCTGTACTCAACAGAAGATGAAGCGTTCTTATGAAGAGAGCTTTTCAAGTTACCCACATACTGGGGCTCCGATGGCATTAAGAGCAGCCCATATAATATCTTACTGCCAAGTCGATACAGACAGATTTAATTCCATTAACCCAGTACTCTCCTAGGGACCTTTTGGGCTCTACGATTGAATGTGGAATTTCCAAACTAGCAGAGGCAGTGATAGCATAGCACAGGGCATGGAAGTCAATCAGTGTTGCCACACAGTGCCCCATCTACCCACACATGCCACAGGTGCGTTAATGTGGCCGAGCACTGGCAGGCAGATTTCTTCAGCCGAGTGCCAACGCTCACCCTCCCTCCATCGCACACGCCAGATTCTCACGCCAAAGTTCTATGACCTGGAAACGACTAAAGATCCCCAATACACTGCCCTAATTAGAATACGCGGTTATCAATCTAGAATCTGTGGAGAAGGTGGCTCAAGGTCCCGTGACGGAGGAAGGCTGTGTTGCGATGAAGCCCTGAAGGGGGAGAAGGGTGTGTGTTTTTTTCCATCTTAAGATTCTGGAGTGCCAGGCCGGGATGGCATTCCTGATGTTAGAGATGAGCCGGTCGGTGACCTCTCTAAATAAAATCCAAACAGACTGAGAAGTGAGGTGGGCAGGAGATGGTGGTTCAGCAACATTCATTGTGGAATCCATCTGTACATATATTTACATTAAGCCAGATATACTCTGGTTTCCTTCTGCATGCAAAATGTTCACTGATGGATTTGGTCAAACAACCTAAAGCAAGAACCTCCTGAAAGGGAGCCTTGAGAATCAAGTGAAGCTTTCCTGGATAAATACAGGACATAATGTTGTACATTCCATACATATACATACTTACATGCAAGCATACATTAATATGAAAGACCCCACATTACATCTAAGTGGATAACCGCACTGGGAATTAGTGGGACGTGGTAATGATGAGCTTAACATTTTACATTGATATTGAATTATTAATGGTATTCATCTTTGTGAAAAAAGTGCCTGTTTCTCATGATGTAGTCACAGGGAGGGAATGTAGCATATATTGGACTAATGAATCACTGTGTCAGCCCCCTTAGAGGCTAGGACGTATGAAAGACATTGGTCTGACACCAAATTGCAGGCACCATTGCTGCGACGCGGTGGTCACGAACGCAGTAAAGCGCCATCCTTCACATGGTGAATTAAGCCAAATGTTCCGTCAACTTTCAGAACATTAGGGATCCCACGACACCCGTTTAAAAGAGCAGACAATTGTGTAACAACGCAGTGGCTTAATGGCTAGATTAACAAGCAGCAATGAATAATTTATATCTGACTGACACACAAATATATAAAAGACCATTCTTTCATTTACTGGTGTTTATAATTTGCCCTTAAATTATAAATCTTAGCATTTCCACAATATGGATTTTCTTCCACTATGTATTGGCATGCAGTGGCAATCGGTATATGACCCTGGTATGGGCAACCACTAGGTTAACTCAGCCAAAAATGAGAACCTACAATTGTTTTCCATGTCTCTATATTTAATAGTATGCGTGGTGATGCTTAGGTCCTCTGAGCCAATGTTTGGAAGCTGCACATTTCTATGGCAGATGCCAAGCACTATTGGATGATCGATGTATAAGCTATATCTGGGGATCATACCAATGTTAACGAACGTACAGACAAAACACAATAGTATATTTCACAGGCTCGTATTAAAACAAGAACTTTTTTTAACGAAAATTGTTGGGATACTAGCAAGGCCGAAGGGAGGAAAAAAACAACGCAAAAAATCACTTAAGAGTAAAGGATTGTGCCTGCATACCCTATTATACACATACATACGCGTGCTCATGAGTCACGGAACAATGTGCACAAGCGGGGATTTTTCACACAGCCGTGCCCACCCCAATCAAGACAAATGCTCACAGCCGTTGCTCGTAAGGTGGCCTCTTGGGTGGAAATTAGGATCGCGTTCGTCACGACGCACGTGGAACTTCGGTGAAACTTGTTTATCCATTGCCCCTGCCTGGCCGCGCCTACGCGAAATATTGCTATGTCACAGCAAAAAGTTGGAATCTTACAGTCAAGCGCACACGCCTGCATTCCTCAAAAAGCCATGTTGTTTATTCACTCATTTAGGGCTAAAGGGATGTTGAGTATAAGGCGCGAGCTCAGCAATTGCTCGCACACAGCACAGGTGGTGGAAGGGCATCCATCCATGGGAGCTCCTAGAGAGGCCCTCTACAGGGTATTTGGCCTACTCTTCCACGCTGACCAGATTTCCAGGAAGAGGTGGGAGTACCCACACTTAACCCGACCACACGTGACCTGCTGATCCACGAACTGCTGGGTGGGCATAGGCGAAAGAATTCAAGAAACCTGCACCATTGCTTCAACTGCCGCACCAGGAGATCGAACCGGCACCCACTGGAAGTCCATTGTGCCAGCCATTAACAACCACGGCAGCACCCTATTCGCCAATATGGCAACGTACAGTGTTTACAAAAATCACCCAATAATACTGCTACTAATTTACAAAGCATGCTGCATTTTAAACATCTGGAATGCATCCGGAGAAAACACAGCTCCTGCTGCAAGGGGAGATGTATGACACCCTAATGCTCTTGCAGCATTCGGTTACGCAGGATTCATCAATCAATAAAATCAATGTGTTTAAATAAACACACTTCATTATTTAAACAAGCATGCAATAATCTCATTAATGTATTAATCAATCAAGAGTCTCCAAACTCAGCTGAGCTTGGCACAGTGCTCATCTCTGGTTGCAGACCAGAGCCAGTGGTGGAAGTTTCAGATTGCGATTCGAGTGCTTTATGACAGTGTCACCGGCTGGGAAATTATTTGCTCATTCCTACCAAAATGTACTGGTACGCACTTTTAGAGCGCATTAGTGATGACAAATTCAAGAGCCGAATGGCTCACAGGGCTATACCAAATAAATGAAACTGAAAAACTGAAACTGAAACAAATAATCAAGAAAGGTGACATGGTGGATAGTTTGCTTAACTCCTACTCAGTTCAAATCTTGGTTCCACTCGGACCATCATCCCTCTGAAATAAATTAAACGAGTACCACTTTGTGTGAAGTCAAATGTCATCTGACAGAGTGGCTCCATACCATCATCAGCCAAGATCAATCCACTGCTCGATGATGGCCTCCCCCATGCCGTCATCATCTCTTATGGTTGCTGCGATATAACAATCCACCTCGTACCTCTACACGGTCTGATTTCATTGCTCCATCTCTTTGGTAAATATCCTCTTGGAGCGTTTCATTCCTTGGGTGTTACTATTCTTGACCATCGACTCCTAGCATAGGAATGGCAATTCCCGTGACCGGCTCAGGGCACCAAAATAACCGTGCGTGGCCCCATGCACATTTAACTTTTATTTGTTAACTTTTTCCCCCAAAGTTAATCCGACTGTGCTCTCGGCACCATGTCACGTGATGAAAAGTCCTTTCAGAACTCTCGAAAGAATGGTCTAGGGAAGCGAATATCACAAAGTGAATATCATATGGTCCACAAAAAGCAGAGGGCAGCGCTCCCCACCCACGTTGCGTATGAACAAGGTCGGTCACGTGACAGTCAATCCAAAATTTTACTTCTCAGAGCTGGGATTTGGCCGAATGAAATGCAGAATCAAATGTCACGCGATGGTTCTCTTTGCGCAGTCATTGGTGACCAAACCAAGACCATAAAACTGACGACACTTGAGGTAAAAGGTAAAGGTACGGCCCTGACATTGCTTGCTCACACCACCGCTGGTGAAAGGACCTCCACTTGAGCGAACTCAAGAGGGTATTCTGTCCACGTTGACCAGGCATGATGGTAGAGGTGGCCGTGCCCACACTTTACCCCGCCGCGCGCGAGCTGCCGATCAACTAATTGTGGCGCACACATCTATAACGCTGGGTGGACAGAGGCGGCGAGAGGGGGAAACCAAAGAAACTTGCACCATTGTTTCAACTGCCGCTGTGCAACACGGAATGCAATCGTCAACTTTTGGACTGCAAGCCTGGCATGCTCACCATCGTACCACGGCAGCTCTGGGTGAACAACACAACTCGACAGTGGTGCAGATGTTCACTACCTCCCCTGGTATACAGGAGGTCTTGGATTCGATTGTGACCCTGATGCGTGTATACTTGGAGTGAGCATTTCTATCTCCCTGTGGTCACGTGGATGTTTCTCCGGGTCCTCTGGTTTTTCCCTCCACGTTCAGAATGAACATGCATTCAGAGTATTTGTCTGCTATAAATGTCCACGTGATAAGCCACTTCGTGGAGCTATCATTTGTGAAAGAGTGATAGAGCTCAGTGGGCCTTACCGTGGTAAAATAACAAATAGTTTATAGTTGAATCACAGGTGGCAAACACTGGGATTCAAACGCAGGCCCTCCACGGTGTCAGCTCGGCCACCTTATGTTTCCTTATCGAGATTCATATAGCTGCTTATTCTAAGACGCTTTCACAGCAACTATAAAATTGTACATAAGAAAATAGTGGCTTGAAGATAAAGAGGAGCGGGGTTATTAAAAGCGGCGGTGTGTCCCGGTGACAATTAGGAGGACAGAGGCGGGAGAGGCGGGAGAGGTCAAGGAGGTTAGGGTCGGCCTCGTCATAGCCGGGGGAGGGGGGGGAGGCACCACTTACCGATGTTAATGCGGCCGCCGTTGAGGCCCTTCATGGCAATGCTGAATCCCTGGCCCTCCTCGCCAATGCGGTTCACCACGGGTACCGCGCAGTCCTCAAAGATGACGGCGCGTGTGGGCTGGCAGTTCCAGCCGACCTGCACGAGGAATTCATAATTAAATATAAGTAACGTGCCACCCCCGACAATGACTGCATCAATCACCGGGCATTATGCACCACCATTCTCTTCTTTTTCTCTCTCTCTTTCCGTCAATTTCCGTCCCTTTGTGTCAGACGTGCGGTGCGCACACCTGGGGCACGGCGAGGCGCGGCGAGGAAATAAATATATGGCGGTAATCTGTTCGCACAAATGTACAGGGGACAAGAAGGTGACGCATGGGTGCTTAATTTGATTGAAATGCGCAACGTGTAAACAGCTTCACGGAACAAATCCCAACATCCAGATGCATTCTTTGAAAGGCAAATATCCACGGGGTGCTCACTGGCTAAGCGCAGTATGCAAACCAGGTCCGTAGACACACTATGGCAGTTGCAGGAGTCCAATGACCAGCGAATGGTTCTGTGTTTTTTTTAGATAATTATAAATCCACAGTGAACAGTTGTTTGCTAATTCTGACACATTTTTACGAGGGAAAACGAGGTTACTTTAGGTAACAGATCTCTATGAGAGCAAATTAGGTTACTTTAGCTCACTTATCGCGATGAGTGAATGATGTTGTTTTAGTTAACATTTATACGCAGGGGTATAGCCGTGCATTGGAAGTTGGCGGTGTCCTACCAATTAATGAATCCCAGTGGTACAACCGGTACAATGATCTGTTATTTGCTAACGCTGTCATTAACTACAGTTGTCAAATTTTGATTTAAAGCTTTCGTGACTGCAGGGATTCATATTCTTGGTTCTTTCGGTAAAGTCACATAGAAGGGAAACAATAAAATAATAAAAATATAAAACATTAAAATTCTCACGACGTTTCGACTGCAACACAAGCAACCATCATCAGGTGTGAAAACCACAGAAATATATATATTTTTTAAAAGTGGCAGTTTTTTTAACGTTAGCATCACGGAGAGCGATTTGACAGTTACTCAGATGGACGAGTTCATCTATGTTCAGAAAAGAGGAGGGGGGAGACGAAAATAATGGATGTGGTCTGAAAGCCACCGTAATAAGCGTGAACAATCAATTAAGACCCGAAATGGTTTATTAAATCCTTCCAATGATTGCTAAGCCAGAATCCATCTTCTCGGTTGAAATTGTCTCTGTGTTTGTATATGTGGATAGGCTCATGAATAAATGAATAACTGCCAAATTGCTCTCCGTGGTGCTAACGTTAAAAAAACGCCACTTTTTCAATTTTTTCTTGCTGTGGTTTTCACACATGATGATGATGATTGCTTGTGTTGCAGTCGAAACGTCGTGAGAATTTTTACGTTTTATATTTTTATTATTTTATTGTTTCCCTTCTACGTGACTATACCGAAAGAACCAAGAATACAGTTGTCAAGTTATAAGTTGTGCTGACAAAAACCCTATTTTACATGTTTTTTTTTTTTACCAGGAGTGCATAAAAATCCAAAGCTAATGACAGGATATTGGCACACAGCAGCAGGTTAACTTTGCCGTTCACAGCACGCCGAGTTCAAACTGCCAGCATTTTTGGGAGAAGACCTTCACAAGCAGTAAAAGGAAAACGCATTCGCCAATTACGAATTGAGATTCCGACATCTTATTTTGTATTTAAAGAGCACCTTGCCTCAAGGGCGATGTACAGTACGTGGTTCAAAAAAGCGGTAACAAAGAAATCGAGTGATTTAGATGGCAGGGACGCCCAAGGGCCGAGGAATAAGAGAGTGAATGAAAGAGGAAATGAGAGGGTGACCGTAACAGACGGCGCACGCGGGTCACGAAAGCGCAGGGGAGGGACGGGAAGGAATGGAGGGGGCCAGGGGAGGGAAGAGGAATGCTCTTACCGATGTTCACTGTTTCGTTTTCGTTTGAAAACTAATTTCTTTAGAACTTATTTTTGTGTTTGGTTTGTTGCCCTTCCTACATACCACGGTTGGCTACGTTTGGTGCGAAGAAAGTTCAATATACATGCATGCATACAGAAGAGAAGATGCTCATGTGTATGTGTGTCCTCATGTGGTAGTGTAGCGGTGACTGCGCCGCGCTCCGAATCCGGCGCCTCGAGCTCGACTCCCACTCACGGCCAACACCAGTGATGATTATTTAACCTGGTCCTGGGCCTCCCCTAGGTCGACTCAGCCTCAAATGAGTACCTGGTGCAGTGTGTAAACATCGCCACTGGGGAGGCAAAGGCGGCCGTGTGTGGTGTTGGCCACCCATTGCCTCGTGTGTCATGCCGGCCTTCATAGGTGCTGCTCGCTAGCAGCACTTACCCCAATAGTGTGTTACAGGCAATACGGGGGATCTTTGTCTTTGTGTCCTCGTGTTGGCGTTGCCTTCTTGAGTGAGACACAACGTGCATGAGTCACACTGGTGAGGCTGTTGCGGGTACTCCACAGGGGACCATCACTCGTGAATTGCGATACGTGAACTGCAGTGATCCTGTGAGCGCCTTTAGACTACCATGCATGCCAGGGGATGGTTTAGAAATAATTACAATTTGAGACTGCGCATGTGATGTAAAAATACGTCCTCGATCATGTCCTGAAATAAAATTAAATGTGTGCATGGGCACGTGATGTGCACGTGATGTGCACGTGTGTGTGTGCAGTGCTTGGGGAGTGGTAACATAGCGGTTAGTGCGCCGCGCTACAAACCTAGAAACCTGAGTTCGATTTCCGCTCGCAGTCAACACCAGTGACAATTATTAGGCCTGGGCCTCCCCTAAGTCCATTCAGCCTCAAATGAGCACCTGGTATGTTGTGTAAACATCGCCATTTGGGAGACAAAGGCGGACGGGCATGGTCCTGGCCACCCACCCGCTCATGTGTCGTGTCGGCCTTCATAGTTGCTCGCTAACGCCACTTGCCCCAACAGTCTGCCCTTGTGTATGCGTGTGTGGGGAGGACATGGTGTGTGCTACCGTATGCTGTACGGATAGGTGCTGCCATGCAGTACACACTGCACTCAATTTGCAGAATGTCAAATATACTTCCTGGCCATAATACACAACACCAGAGGCGACTAATTGAACAGGTCCTGGGCCTCCCCTAGGTCGACACAGCCTAAAATTAGTACCTGGTGCGGTGTGTAAACATCGCCACTAAGGGGACAGAGGCGGCCGGTGTGGTGCTAGCCACCCACCCCCTCATGTGCCGTTACATCCTTCATAGGTGCACGCTAACAGCACTTCCCCCAACAGTTTGTTAAACCTATATGGGGGATATTTGTCTTTGTGTGTGCTACCATATGCTGTACGGAGAGGTGGTACTATGCAGTGCACACTGCGCTCAAATTGCAGAATGTCAAATGTAATTCCTGGCCATGATACACAACACCAGAGACTATTGGCATTTAAATATGGACGGGGTATTCTCAAAGTGAATTCAGCCATAAGTGAGTAAGCATTACAATGTGCTCAACATCTGCGCCATAGAGGCAAAGGCAACCTTGGATATGAAGTTCTGGTTACACGACCATTACATATCCCATGTCAACCTTAATAGGTGCTTGCTAAAAGCATTTGTTCAGTACCACTTTGAGCGATATTGTATGTATGTTGAACTTCTTTCACACCGTACATATCCAACCGAGCTAATCCGCGGTGCGGTGGAAGGACAACAAACTAAGCACAAAATGCAGTTCTCAAGAAATTAGTTATCGATTTAAAAGTGTATACCTCCAGTGGCATCCTAATATCAGAAGGAAGAGCATTCCAGACGGCCGCAGAAGCGCAGCGCACGATGCAGTGACCGTCTTTGTTTGATGGCGAGCAAAAAGTGGTTGTACTATGGAGAGAGACTTACCCACGTGTTTGGAATGTGAATATCCTACCACTTGCACATGGCCACCTCTTTGCTTCATTGAACGAAGACATATCTATGGAACCTTTTTGCCACTATAAAAAAATATTTTTAAAAATAAGAATAGGTTTCCGGAAATAAAACAGGTATAAAGATTTTCAAGGCATCAAGTCTGCATTTACCACACATACTTGTGGTAAAACGTGCAAACAAACATGCTCCGATAATATTTGCATTGTCTTTGAAACTGATTGGCCTACACCAGAGACAGACTTCTTTATGGCCTAGTCTAGCCAGTGTTAGGCCAGAGAACACCAAAAGGTAAACAGTACAAAGACAATGCCAGTATCAGAAAGCCACGAGACCTTTTTGCCAGTAGCAAAAAATGATAAGAATAGGTTTTACCCTTTCTGGCAATAAAACACGTGGTGTTAAGATGTTAAAAACACCTTTTGCAGACAAACTGACGTTTGACCACAGTTGCATCATCCTTCGACATCGAGTTGAAGGACGACGCAACCGTAGTCTAGCGGCGAGCGGCACTGTGGGCTTGCAATCCCCAGGTCTCCGGTTCCATCTCCCGACGCGGCAGTTGAAAACATTCAGGCAACGTTCTCAAATCGCCCCCCCCACCTCCCATCTCCATCCACTGAGGAATACACATGGGTGCATTAAAGTTAGTCGATCGGCAGGTCGTGGATTCCAGTGTGGGTACTTCCCACCTCTTCCAAAGTATCTGGCCAGTGTGGGAGAGTTAGACCATGGTGCCGTCAAGAGGCCGCTCTAGAGCTTCCTCAAGTGGAGGCCCTTCCACCACCAGGAGTGTGAGCAAGCAATGTCAGGGCTGCACCTTTACCTTTGCACCTATCCCCAAAATGTCATCTGTTAGGCGACTTTTGTGCCGCTAAACTTGCATTTGAGACCCTGGCACCACACGGCTGTGGTGCGAGTGCGCAACCCATAAACGCGTCTCTTGCCAAACCATCTCCGAGCGCACACAATAACCTCGTCTCGCCGCGTATCGCTCATCGCGCCAACATCCGAATTTTGTATACATCGCTGAATCACTCCACTCCGCAGATGCACAAACTACACGTCCTCTGTCATCTGCATGAGTGGGAAAGGGAACACTGAAAATAATTCGCCATCGCTGAGATCGAGTCGCTGGCTTATGGAAGTGAACAACGGAAATTAAATTGGCCT